AAATGATCTTTCCTCTCTAACAGACTCATAGGCAGACATAAATGAGAATTTACCATCAGTTACTGGTTCCCAAATTGGACTACCATCCAGATTAAATCCACATAAAGAGCTAGCCAATCCATCAATATTATAGATTCTCCTCCAAATGGGTGAATCAGTAATCTTATGTACCATATTAGTACCTCTTGGATATCTAGACTTTATAAACTGAGACTAGATAGAATCCCCAGTTTTACATTTCCACCACAGCTTCAGTGTGAATGCTTTTTCTAAATCAGTGAGGCTTCTAATTCCCAGCCCTCCCTCATCAGTTGGAAAGCATAAGTGGGCCCATTTAATCCAATGGTACTTATGTTTTGTATTAGAAGAACCCCAAAAGAATGCAGCCATCTTGTTTTCCAGAATGTTAATAATTTTGTAGGCAGTCTATCAGCAGCTAGAACATGAAGGGGAATAATGTTGAGCACATGTTTTATGAGAACTAATCTGCCCCCCCCCCCCCCCCCCCCCCCATAGATAAATGCTTTTGCTTCCAAGTAGAGAGTTTTGAGTCAAATTTTTTGATGATGTCCATACAGTATTGAGCCCTATTAATACCTTTGTGCAGGGGTACTCCCAGATACTTGACTGACAGCTCTGCATCATGCATTCCCAACAGGCTGGAGATGACACCCGATCTAGCTTTTCTCCCACACACAAAGGTACTCTTTTGAAGATTGATTGATTTGCCAGATGCAATCTGATAGGACTTTAAAAAATTTATTAAAGTTAATCAAAGATCTACAGCCACCATTAAGGAAAATCAACAATTCATCAGCAAACCCTAGGTGAGATAATGGATAACCAACATAGTCCATCCAAAAAGGTTTAATAGATCCCATGTCTATGTGCCACTTCAGACCTCTAGAAAAAGCTTCAGAAGCTAAAATGAAAAGATATGGTGAAAGGAGATCACCCTGCTTTACACCTCTTTTAGGTTTGAAGAAACCAGTAGGTATACCATTAACCAAGATAGACATATTAGTAGCTTGTAATTTGTTCATAATGATTTGAGAAAACTTGCTTGAAAACCCAAATCTTTGTAGAACTCCTTCAATGAATCTCCATGATAGGTCTAAAGTCACTAAAAGTATAGGGATTATCCACCTTTGGAATTAAAACTACCAGACTACTAAAGACTCCTTGAAGGATAGGCACCCCCAGAAAAAACTCCTGAAGAATTTAATCCAGCTTTTTTTGAAGAATTTTCCATTAAATCCCACAATTTAAGAATTTTCCATTAAAACTACCAGAATACTAGAGACTCCTTGAGGGATAGACTACTTCACTAGACCAGCTCCCACAATATGCCAGCTTTTTTTGAAGAATTTTCCATTAAATCAATCAGGACCTGGAGCATTATTCTGATTCAATGACCAAACTACATTTTTAATTTCCTCTTCTACTGGCAGTTGCATTAACATTAGATATCTTGCTCAGAAATTACATGTGGTATAAATTGCAGGACCTCTTCAGCATCAATAGCAGGATCCACTGAGTAAAGATCTGAGAAAAAAGATATGACACTCCCCTATGTCAACTTGAGAGCTAACTACTGGTCCCCCACCATTAGTAATAGAAGCTATTGTTTGCTTTCTATGTCTGACTTTCACATATGTGAAAAAATTTTGAATTAGTGTCACCTTCTTTAAGCCACTTTATATGTGCTTTCTGTTTCCAGTACTTCTTCTCAAGCTTGTATTTAGCAATCAAAAGAGCTTTAAGGTGATGCCATCTTTCCCTATTCTCTTCACTTGGGCAGATTTCAAAATCTTGTTCAGCTTTCATAAGTTGTTCCTCACAAGATTTAATATCTTCAAGGAGGTTACCAAAAGTTTTCTTATTCCATACTTGAGGTCCATTTTAAGACTCTTGAGCTTATGAACAATGCCTCTCATTCCCCCTCCCCTAGAATTCTCATCCCAGCTCTTCTTAACAACATCAAAAAAGGTAGGATGACTTAACCACATATTCTGAAACTTGAAGGATTTGGGGCCAGAGAGATCATCAGAGCAGCACCTGATTAACATAGGACAATGATCAGAAGGGGTTTTCTCCAAGATATCCACCAAAATGTGTTTATAAAATTCACTCCAACTAGGATTAATCAGGTATCTATCCAATCGCCTCCACACCCATCCATTAGACCTCACACCTGACCATGTAAATTCAGGGCCTGAGTAAGATGGTTGAATCAGATTACAAGCAGAGATGCAATCAGAGAAGTCAATAATACTTCTCAAATTAGGCATAGATCTTCCTTTATGTTCACAATGGGCTGCAATGGCATTGAAGTCCCCTCCAACCAACAAGTTTTGATTAATATTACTTTAAATCTCTGTCAATGAGCTCCATAATTCTCTTCTAAGCAAGTAATTATGCTTACCATAAACCACAGTGAACCAACCACAAAAATTTCCTTTTCTGACCTTCATATGCACAAACTGGTTATGCCACTTAATATCAGATATAACCACATCCTCATAGTCCCAAAAGACCCAAACTTTATTGATAGAAGAATGAATAACATTAGAAAAAGCAAAGGCATGCTTAAAATAATCTGCTTTGATATCATTAACCATAGGCTCAATAACAGCTAGAATACTAATCTGCCATTGCCTCACTAGAGATCCTAGTTTAGCACTGGCAGACTCCAAACCTCTAACATTCCATGGTAGACAATTCATTGAGTATTATGTGTGAATTTTTGAGAAACCAGTCTGCTGATACCTCAGAACCTGACACTACTGACCCATCCAACTTTTTGCAGCATTGCGAGTGATTCTGGGAGTGAAATCCCCCTCCAGGTATTTCTTTTCTTCTATTTCTTTTGCTCTTAACTGTAATGAAATCCCCCTCCTCTGAGTTGTTTTGATATGGTCTTTCTAATTGATGAGTGATTGATTCCTCCAGCTCCAACCTCTTGGCCATAACATCCACTTTGTCAGAGATGTCTTGCCAACCTATCTCCCAGTTGTGAATATGCTCCAGCCTTTTGCATGATACCCCTTCAGATGAGTATCCTTTTGCATCCAGTTCTGTATCAAAATCCATTTGTTGCTTCAAAAGATTCAGATGGACATCATCTTTAATAGAGCAAATTCTATTGTTGTGAATGATCCCCTTCACTTGTCTCTTTAGAAGTTCCTGGAGCTCTTCCTTGTTTAATTCACCAGGGCTGACTATTTCTTTTTCTGCAATAACCTATCTCTTTGTATTTGTAGGGGGTTCTTCATGATAAACTTCCTCGCTATCAGTGTCCTCATCCACCACAAAAGGAGCATGTGATGTCTGCTACTTGGAGGACGACCGATCATAAATAATTAATGCTTTGATGTTATCCTGCCTGATAGGAATAGCTGATTTAATTTTGTTTGGGACACTCTGTAATAATAACTTTACCTTTTTCAGCTGCTGTGAATTTCACTTGCTTAGAATTAGCACGCCCCATTTTCAACCCATCTTTCCTTAGGCAAGGACATTGTCTTAGTTTCCGGGTTGAATTTAGGGCACTTAGAACTGGCATGACCCAGGTGTAGGCATTGAACACAATAGTTTGGCTTGTGCTCATAAGTGACTGGTTGCGAAAAACCAGTAGAGCCACAGTTAATCCACACCTTGTGGGGCATTTCTTGAGTTAGATCAAGCACCACATATACTCGTGCCACTGATGGCCTGGATAAATTAGTTGTGGCAGAGTCGATCTTTAAGGGTTTTCCAATCAAATCCGCAATATCAAATAAGGCTCTTTTATCTCTTAAATGCAAAGGCAAACCTTCAAATGCAATCCATACCGGAACCACAGGAGACTCGACATTAGGACGAAAGTCCGGAGTCCACTTGGTAACCCTCATCACAAATCCTTGAATTGTCCAGAGCTTTGTCTATTCCAACATCTGAAATAGTCCTCCTCCGAATCAAAGCGTATTAGAATGTGTTTGCGTTCTAATACACCCAAATGAAAGGGTCCCTTGAAGCCGATGATCTCAAAAGATTTGTGTATTTTATCAAGACTCGGTCTTCCACAGTAAAAATACCCTATCAGTGATCTCCGATGCCTCTCTGCCAAGAGCTGGATATCACTTTTTGGGAAGGTGATAGCTGGTAGTCCCTTGTGGCGTGAGTGTGTCTTGATGGAGAGAGAGACATTTGCTTTATTTGCAACAACATCTGCGAACGATTTCCCACCCCAGGTTGGTGGTGGATACGGCAGCGTCTCTGCCGTGGTCGCGTTTCTCATCAGCTAGGGTTCCGTCCTCTTAGTTTTGTGTAGTCATCAGCTAGAGTATGCACCTCACAACAATTCTTACACATTATTACACGTTTCTCTCTTTTTTCATAACTCTCACCATACAATACTCACTATCTTAATCTCTGGCTACTTGTAATATGGAAGAAAAATTAGCGATGTGGGAGTAAATCTTTAGAAAAGTGTCATATTGAAATAATTGAAGCACATGTTAAATTTCAATAAATGGTAAAGAACAAAATAGGGGTTGCATTTAAGGGTCAATACATGACATTAATTATAAAAGTATGTTTATTGTCATATCAAACGGTGAGAGTGCAGCATTCGGTGTCAAAAAAATCGCAAAAGGGTGATTGTGCTTCTAGACTAACTAGTTTAGTACCCGTGTGATGCTTTGTTATCTTTATCATCTTTGTCACGTATTAAAATTTTCAACCCATCACGCTTAGTGACACGTGAAAGAGCAACATATAGCTGACCATGACTGAACACCGGTTTCTTTAAGAATAATCCAACATTGGACAATGATTGTCCTTTACTTTTGTTAATTGTCAAAGGTATCAACACCTTTTCACCTGCATTTATTCTTGTGAGGACTTTTGCTTCCAAAACGTGATTACCGAGCCTGGTGATCACCATTCTAGTTCCATAACATAACACCATTGAATGATCAATGTTTCTCATTAGCATAACTGGTGTCCCCACTTTGAGATGCAATTTATGATTTGGAACTCGAGAAGCTCTTATCCCATTTAAAAATTCGGGAGTATGAAGGTCGGCTAAGAAATCGATATTTGCATCTGATTTACACGGACTATCTGAACTAAGATATGTTCTTAATTCATCGTCATTCATTCTAAGCATGTAATCATTGATCACATCAACATCATCAAGTGTTGGAGCCAAAATTGCTCTCTTTTCTAAGTAACTGGGATCATCTCCACTCGTTACAAATTCAGGATAAGTGCTTTGAACAATTGATGTAATTGGATCATCATAACCTTTACTCAACAGATCATCAGGAATTTTTATATCAACACAACCATCATTATCGCCACAAAAAAATCATCTTCAATGTCCGCAATCCACTTGATAAAGGAAAATAGATCTTCAGGCGCTTGACTAAAATCTCCGTGAAGAAGCCTCACATTCTTGGTTAGTCTCAACACTCTTACATATCTCCATAAATAAGAAGAGTGTATAGTTGCATTAACTATATCTTGCCTTGTTCCTTTTGGTATAACAGGAAGAATTTGTCTAAAATCTCCCCCAAACACCACAGTTCTTCCTCCAAATGGCAAATCTAGACTCAGTGGGTTTGTAAAACGTAAAATATCACGAAACGTACGATCCAAAGCCTCAAAACAATGTTTGTGTACCATTGGAGCTTCATATCAGATTATTAGTTTGCACTTCACAATAAGCTCAGCAAGTGCACTTCCTTGCTTGATATTGCAAGTAGAATTTTCATTTTGATTGATTGGAATTTTAAATCGAGAATGTGCAGTTCTACCGTCGGGCAAGAGAAGAGATGTGATGCCACTTGAAGTAACATTTAAAACAATTTCTACATTGGATCGTATAGCTGCAGAAAGAGTTTTCCGCGCGAATGTTTTTCCTGTTCCTCCATATCCATACACAAAGAACACTCCACCTTCACTTGAATCAATGGCTTTGAGCACCGTTTCGTAAACATTGAACTGTTCATCATTCAGACTATCTGACATTTTTTTATGTTCTTCAAGCAAAGACATCCTGGCATACCTTAATTCATCATACACCAGTCGATTCCTATTAATTGGTGAATAAAAACTTAGAATCTAGAGTTGGCATTCCCTCATAATCTTCTAAACTCTTTCCACAATGACCCAACAATTTTTCAATTTCAAACAACGTGTAGTTCTTTATTTCATCTTCACTCAAAATGAGATCTACATTAAAAGATAGACCAGTTAGCAAGAATATGTAGAATTTATGTGAGTATTAAAGCGAATAAAAATATAACACAGTCTTACCACGATGGTCGAACATCAAATGTTGTCTGTAGAGAATGTCATCGGACAAATAAGTCCAGCATTTGTCCCAAACTTCTTCAGGTCTGCTTAGGCAATCAACAATCAAAAGTGCAACAAAAAGTCTACGCAAAGCATATGCAGTTGCCCAAAAACTTGCTTCATCAATGGCATCAATGTATTCCTTATCATCTTCCAGCAACCCCAATTCCTAGAAAGCATCACGAAAAGACTTATATTGCACACCATCTACCTTCATAAGATCTTCAAAACACGTTGGACCACAAACTACATTAAGAAGACATCTAAAGTAGAATTGTTCACCACATCCAGGCGGTATGTACAATACCCGTCCTATTGCAAAACCTTTCTTCCTTGATACCCATTCTCTAGTTGCTTGTTTCCAAATGAACTTCATTTGGCATCTCAGCATATGTCAATTCTCGTGCTTCAGGATAAACTTGATTTGCTTTGAACCAAGCCAAAAGCATACTATGTTACACTGTTTCTCTATGAACAACTTCGTCAATAGGATCAAAATAATCGAAATAGACATTTTGCTCATCTTGAAGATGAAACCTCAACATGTCCATCGGAACACTACTATACTAGATTTCAAAACCCGAAGACCTCCAAACAGCTTCACATGGAGACACATATCTGCAATCGTAGTACGTTTGGACTTCATCCACATTACCCCTTTCGTCATCTCCATTTCCACTTTCGTAAAATGCTGCAGTCACCCTATCGTTACCCTTATTCACATATTTGAATAAGTATTTAATAGATCTTGAGTGGTTACACCACTCGACGTTCATGTGTGCTGCGTACTTGAGCAATAAATGTCTATTGTGGGGCACTACATATCGATTGTCAAGTGGCACACCATTTTTCTCAACTATTCGACTGTCATCTCTTCGTCTATACACTGGATATCCATCATCATCCACAAAAGTTTGATTCACAAAATTCTTAGGAAAGACTTTGAACAACGTCCTTCTACCATACAGCGTGAGTCCATTTTCGCATTTCCACACGGACCATGCATCATATAATCTTTCACAACATTGTAATACTCTGGATCATTCTTCTCACATGGGATTTCAGCTAAATGATTGTGTCTATATAGTCCATTGTAGGGATTTTCTCATTCTTGTCGAGGAACAACACTATATGAGCATGAGGCAATCCGCGCTTTTGAAACTCAATAGTGTATATATAACTGCAAGCACAAAAACTCAAATTTTATATGATACTAATTACAAGATACTTTATTTCTAACATAATAGTTGCTATAAACATACCTGCTTTAACTGTGCCAAATACTTTTTTTCGACTGAAGTCATTGATTAGTCCATCAAGCTTCATTTTGAAGACTATACAAACAATATCCAATCGATCTTCTAGCTTAAGATTTCTTTTATTTAAAAATCTAATTATATCCGGCCGCTTTGGGTTGCATGTGAAAGTTATAAATAAATCAAGGTAGCCTATCCATCTACAAATGGCCATAGCATCCTGATAGTTCTCTTTTTTTGAGGAAGCGGTCCAGCCTAGTTGGTCGCCGACTCACTCTCCCTTACGGGAGGTCTCCGGTCGAAACTCAATAGAGTGAGTTTCAGTCTAGCAGATTACTTCAAGCTCCCCCAGCCCCCTCCCTCAGACGCCCCCTGGAGTAAAAAAAAACTCCACCTGTAATAGAAGATGGAACAACTATCCGTTTTCCCTGTGTAGAAGCCGAAGAAACAAACAACTTCATGCCATCGGCCCTTCACTCCTATGCAAATTGCAAACCGCAATGGCTTGTCGAGGCGGACGATTTAAACTCATTCAAGAAATATCCAGGAGTATAATGTAAAGGTATGAAATAAATAGGGCCCTAATTTCATTAGACATTTTGGATCCTGAGGTCCAAGCCCTCAAGCCTTGCATAAGGAACAACCCTGATCTCGGGCACCTAACACCAGATTTGCCCTCAGGGTAGGTTGCTGCACTAGAATTGATCTCGACCTCGGACTGAGAAGTGAGCTCGGTCTCTACCGCAGTTTTGGACTTATCTTGAAGATATGAGAACTGGTTTTGGGCTCAGTCTCAGAGGGCTCAAGCTCAATTGGATTTGCCTTAGTTGATCGTGGGGGTTCCTCTACACAGAGTTGATACCCCTGGAGTGTATAACATATACTACATCAACTTTTTTATTTGCGGAGACATAACAAAAACAAGAATAACAATAAAAATAATAAGAAATAAAAAAATTGTGTAAGATGTTGTGCATGTATTAGAAATGAGAGTTGGTGTGGTTGATTGATTGTAATTTTCCCAATTCATAAGATTCTATTAAGACCATAAATTATACTTCCTCCATCCCTAAAAAACTTCCAACTTTCCTTTGTGGGCATCTCAAAGTAAACTTTCACTTTCCCTCTTTGGCAAAGAATTTTTTGTACACAACAATTCTTACACGTTATTACACATTTCTCTCTTCTTTGCATAACTCTCACCACGCAATACTCACTATCTTAATTTTCGCGCTACTTGTAATATGAAAGAAAAATTAGGGACGAAGGGAGTAAATCTTTATAAAAGTGTCATATTGAAATAATTGAAGCACATGTTAAAATTTGATAAATGGTAAAGCACAAATAGGGGCCGCATTTAAGGGTCAATTCATGACATTAATTATAAAAGTATGTTTATTGTCATATCAAACGGTGAGAGTGTGGCATTCTGTGTCAAAAAAATCGTAAAAGGGTGATTGTGCTTTTAGACTAATTAAAGTTAAAAGGTAATTGTCTCAAATTTTTTACGTGATTAGAAGAATTTAATGGCACATCAGAATTGTTGTCATCGGAATGAAAAAGCATATATGTATTTATGAAAAAGCATATATGTATGTGTAAATATGAAATCAGTTAAAAGCAAATATGGTTGTCAAACTTAATTTATTCCAAACCTATATATATGTATTTTTTGTAACCATAATATGAAATACTTTGGACTTTTTTTACCATAATTTACTCCAGGCTCCTTCGAACCCCTCTCCCTGACCCAGCCCGGGGTAAAAAAGCATGTACACAAAAGTGTTAGTGTACCTACTTTGGGTGTACGAGAGACACCACAATGTCTTTTTAGTGTAATTATAGTTACTATATTAATTACAATTGTAAGAGTGTATTAAAATTCACATTTCATCTACTTATATTTTTAGTTATATACTTGTCATATTTTCATATAGAAATTATAATAAGGAAAATCGCTCTTCTAGTCCCTGAAATAGTCACAATATTGAAATGTCAAATCCGTATTTCGAATATTGTAAATGTCACCCCTCAATTGTCCAAATTGCTGTAAATGTGGTCCCTTGAGGAGTTAAATGTACAATGTGGACAAGGAGTACATTTTACCCTTCAAAAGATCACATTTACAGCAAATTGGACAATTGAGGAGTGACATTTACAAACTCAAGAACATTGGTCTGATATTTCAATATAGTGACTATTTTAGGGACTAAAAGTGCGCTTTCCCATTATAATATGAAATAAATTGAAGTAAATGTATATAAAATGCACCATATATTATGAATGTATATAAAAGAATTCTTTAAATGTAAATAATCTAAGAATAAATGTACTCATTAATATTTTCACTTACAAAAGTTTCTAGTCTTTTATTTAATTGGTCAATGGTGTGAAACTTTTACCAAAGATTTTAACTATTATGCATGTTTTCGGAATAATTATAAAGTTTCTCCAACCGTATGAAACATTGAGAGTGTCATTTTATTATCTTTTTCTTGAAGAGAAAAGTTACTGAAATATAAACTTTAATATAATATTACTAAATACGTAGTACACTATATAGTAATCCTATCTCAAAGTACGTAGGAGGCCCCAAACTATTAAATATATGGGGGCCCTAGGCAATTGCCTAGGTTAAACATAAATTTTGTGCTAAATAAATATGAAGTTTATTTGCTTCTGTAGAAGTCATCTAGCATGCGCTTTGAAAATTTAGGGCTTGGAACCTCAGGATAATCTAAATAATATTTAGTAAATAGTTTCAAATTAAATGGAATTTAAGAGTAAAGATAAAGTGATCGATGTATGTTCTCACCAAATCAAGAAGGTGTAGGAGAAAATGACTGATACGTACTTACGTATGACAAGAGATCCTGGCCGAGATTGGAATGCGGTGGGAGCACTTCGACGCCGAACACTTGAGCGTCGTTGATGTGGGCTGTGTCGGAGAAGTCGTGAAACACGAGCGGCTCGTGGATGACCACTTCTTCATCTGTAGAGGGTAGAAGCGGTTCCTGGTCACAGTGGCGAACCCAGAGATTAATGATAGCAGGACACACTCGATACTAAATTTAATCTATAATAAACACTTCGCGTCCAAAGTGGGAGCACTGGATTCATAAGGGCTACTAATGAATTTTTGGGCCCAAAGCGGGACACGTGCCCCACCTAGCCCCCCTTAGGTCCTCCAGTGGTCACATGTATGGTATAGACGAAACCCTACCTGGTAGCGGAGGTGACATGGCTTGAGGACCAGCCATCAGAGAACGGAGAAGAAGATCTAGAGTCGTTGGCTAACCAAGTCTTTAGAAAAATGCCGTTCTATTGTCAAGCAAATTTAAAGCAAGCTGGAGAATGGAGGTTGATTCTTTAATTAAAAAAAAGTTTAAAATTTTTGGGAAATTTGGTTTGCCGCTTTATTGTTTAGCGGTCTTTTACCATAAAAAAATGGCGGGAACTTTGATTTTGGAAAATTTGGTTTGCTGCTTTCTTTAACTTATACTACTATAAAGGTATTACATTTAATGTCGCCAAATATAACACTTATTAATTAAATTAATGTGACAATACTTCTGTAATTAAACAAGTATTACATTAGAACCACATTTAATGTAAGGGCATCCTCATTCATTAGATTATTTGAGGTTTAGTTGGATGATGTGGAGGATTATTTGAAAGATTATCATTGTGAGTGGGAGATTATTTAGGGAGATTATTGAAAAATAAAATCCGGTATCAAGATTTGGATCCCATATTATTTTAGGTTGTAGTTAAATTGTATTTAATGCATGGTCTAGAAAAACTAATTACTTGAGTATCATGGTTGATGAAGAGTTTTAAGATTTGAGATTATTTAAAATTTATTGAGTAATTGTGATGTGGCAATGATGTGTAAGAGAAACCATTTATTTTAAGATCATGAATGAAGATGCTCTAATAATTGTTACACAAATGTACCTCATCAACTAAAACTATTACAATAGATTCACTTAATGTAACATTTTAAGCATCTGTTATAATCAAAACATTGCATTAGGCTCAAGTGTAGTAGTGTCTCCAAGAAAGTTGTGAAGGATCTAATGCTTGACAATGGATCTCCTCTTTTTCTTTAGGGAGTCATACACTTTAATACCATTAATGTCTGAGACCAACAATTGAAGTTCAAAGTGTAAATGTTCAAAGTGTTATTGCGAAAACAAGATGCATCTTTACGCTATTTGTATTGCATATTGAAGTTCAAAGAGTTGAATCTGAAAAAAATTGGTTTTATTACCAAAAATGTCATTGTGTGATTCCAGCCTTTAGATCAATTCAACGGATGATCAAGATATGTTTGTAGTTTGTAAATTAGGAGGATTTTGTATTTGATCTCTTATATATACACACACAAAAGATTGGGTCAGGTACTTCTGACGGGAATTGCCGTCCCAACTCGTCTATTCTAGGTGTTTCTGGGTGGAATTTTTTGATGAAATTTTGTGACCATGCTCTTCATGAAGTTTAGATTATGCCCACAAAATTTCATTTCAAAATTCCATCGGGAAGTCGGTTAAATAAATTTTTGAAAAACATTATCTTTATAAACATTATGGCGTAGTGTTTTTCAATAATTTATTTAACTGAATTCCCGATTTCATTTTAAGATGAAATTTTGTTGATACAATCTAAACTTTATGAAGAACATGCTTACAAAATTTCATCAAAATATTCTACCCGAAAGCACCTCAAATAGACGAGTTATGAAGGCAGTTTATGTCAGAACTACCTGACGGGATCATTTCTCTCTCTCTCTCTGTATATATATATATATATATATATATATATATATAGAGAGAGAGAGAGAGGGGGGGGGAGGTTCAAATACAAAGTACTACTTATATGGAAAATGAGAAGTAATCTTAGTCGTTAAAATGAGAAAACAAGTGGATCAGATCAATTTTAAAGGAAAAATTTCGGTGCCAAAAGTGTAATTATTAAAAACTTTTTTGAAATCTAATGTGACAAATGTGCATCACTACGGAGGAAAAGTGCATTAGACTAACAATAAAGTGCATTACTTTTCAGGAAAAATAACATGTATAAAGATCATTCCTGATGTTTTTTTAGAAGGTGAATGTGCATCATTACATATTGCACATGCACTTTTGCTATTAGGTATTACACATTTTGGTTGATCGTGAGTTTTGATCTATACCATCCATTTCTAAGTAATCAAGGGCTTGGATTACTTCTCACTTTTCATGGGAAGACCTCTTTGTATTAGAACTCAGCCCTATTAAAACCCTATATTATAATTAGGTATGGGGTATAATTTTTTTATAATCGTAGAAAGTATATTGACTTTTTCAAAGTCTTACCTAGAATACACTGGTTGGATTTTAAGATCATTATATTACCAATAACACTATTTTTTTTCTTCAGACATGATACATGATATAAAAAGCAATATACAAATATGGTAATAGTTGCAATATCACTTTTCTATTTTTATAGAGAAAATATATGAATATTAATTAGAATTGGTAATTACTAATAAAATATCATTTTTATTTACTTCCTTGCATAAGATCCATTTTAATGTTGCCTATAAAATAACATTATATAATCAAAGTTATGACATGTATACGAGTTATTTATTAATCCCTTCTATAAAAAACTAAAAACTTATATCTATCACAATACGATGTAATATTAATCAAGTTATTCTCCTACGTAACCTAGATATATTCCGTGCATCGCATGGGTCATTTGTCTAGTTTTATTATGTATTAGTAAACTTTATAAAAATTTGATATTTTGGAAATTCACATTGATAGGAATTTAATAACATTTTATACGTAATAATTTGATTTTGTACATTAGTAGAAAATTGTGGTCAATGTAAGGTCCGTGAATAGTGCAAAAATCACAATGTTGCAAGAATTAAAGAACGGAAGAAGTAATAACTTCAGTGGATTTGATCATGTTTAATTTCTAACATAGTATGTGTGACAATATACTTAGAGTAACTTTAGTAACATTTTTTTATGTTATAGTTCGATAATATATAACGGGAAAAAAATCTTAACATGTTCATACAAATTAACAACACCACAAAAATAACCACATGATATTACTATTACAAAATAAGAATGATTTTGAATCACACAAAAATTATTAAATTTGGTATGTGACAATCTTAGTAGGATGAATCAATAAAGAAAAATGGGACAAACTAAGCGGGAGGGAAGGAGTACCATATATGCCGTAAATGTTACATTAATAAAATTAATAGAACACACGATAACAGGAAATTAAATTTATGTGGTAATAATAATATACATAAAATAATGTGACTTAACTTATTTGGTTTACTTAATATATGCCCTTTATTTAAAAATTATAATATTACTTTAGTTGTGTAAATATATGGAGTATGTTTTATTTTATATATCTCTATAATACTTTGACATTACTTTGGTAGCTAATTCACTTTCTCATGTGTAATATTGTTATAATAGTAATAATAATATTAATAATGGTAGTATTAGTAATCATACAATTATAATCTATCTATTTAAAAAAAGTAAAAGTAAAAGTGGAGATCGTCCTAACTTTGGTAATACAATTTTATCGCATTAAATGGGAATATAAAAAATTACGGAGTATAAGCTAACCTAGAATTGCTACTCTTTTTGGTAGGGTTGGGCATATTGGTTTGTTTAATTAACTGAACTTTACCAAACCAAACTAAACCGAACTGAAATGGGACTATATGAAATTTTGTTTAATTTGAGTTTGGTAGTATTTATTTCAAAATGTATTAAACTGAATCGAACCGAAACCTACTAAAATCGAACAAAAATTAACAGAACCAAAAAAATTCAATAAAACTTTCATATGTTATTAAAAAAACAAATTCAAACCGAATCAAACCGAATCAAACCAACCCAAAAAATAGTAAGATTTTTGTTTGATAATAATTCTTACAACCTGTTTTAAACCGAACCGAAACTGATAAAATCCGATCCAAAGACCGATATGGCCAC